TTACGACGGTTCTTGAGGCCTGAACTATAATTATGAAGTATTTCTAGGTATATATTCAGGATGCAAAGTGTACAGACTCCAGAGCTAATGTTAATTTATTACTGACAGCGAGATATATGATAATATATCATGTCTTTTAATCGTACATTCCTTCTGACGCTCATCGAGCAAACTTTTCATTCATTAATAAAGTCGAGACTTGCCATTACCACTCATGATGACGTTCCATTCTGAACCCGGAGGACCTCCTGTAATTAAACTCTGTACCTCCGCGGACTAGACAGCTGAAGCTTGGGGAAAGGATAAATTGAACTTCTGGTTTTACAAGAGAGGTGAAAAATGTCAGGACGATGGAACCCATCTGCTCAGTGCCCTAGAAGAGAAAGCAAAGTCAGAGGTGATTGCCGACACCAGACTGTGTCCTTCGCTCTCCCAGCCGACTGCCACCTCTCCCTCCCCATCTTCCTTTCCTGTTTCTGGTATGGGGGTTACATGTGGCGGGCAAGGGCTCCACCCAGAGTTACAGTCCCAGCCCCCCTTTTACTTTCTGAGATAGGCTGACTGAACTCATCGTGATCCTTCTGCCTCTGCCTCCCAATTAATTGAGTTTACAACACTCTTTTCTTTATTTTTAAGCACTAATTTTTTTTTTACTACATGCATGAATTTTACCTGTTTGTATGTAGGAGTACTTCATACATGCCAGGTGCTCCCAAAGGCCAAAGAGAGCATCAGGTCCCTTGGAACTGGAGTTACAGTGCTTGTGAGCCACCACGGTGGTGCTGGGAACCGAACCCAGGTCCTTTAGAAGAGCAGCAAGTGCTCTTGAACAGGAGACATCTCTTCAGACCCAATCTTTCATTTTTTGAGACAATATAATATTACTACCAGCCAGATGTAGTTGCAAATATCTTGTGATCCCAGCAGTTAAGAAGCCAAAGCAGGAAAATCTGCAGTTCCAGGCCTGACAATGATTCAAAAAAAAAAAAAAAGTTCCTAAGGTTCTTAATCACTGTATTTCCTACACAGGCCACATGCCTCAGTTCCCTGCACTGTTCAAAAGCCTTACATGATAGATCCCTGTACAAGAAAGCTAATCTAATCTTACGTTACCAAAGGCAAAGGATCCTTCAGAGGCACTGTAGCTTGAAAGGCTTTCGTTCATTTATTGCATGTGTGTGCTTGTCCCCAAATGCAGTCACACACATGCATCATGGCACCCGTTAGAGGTGAAAGAACACATTCGGGCACAGGTTCTACCCTCTTCCACCATGGCGCTTGTGTCAGCAGGCTTGGCAACAAGCATCCTTGTGCCATCTCACCCATCCAGAAACAAGGCTTCCTCAGGGTCCAACTGCTTGGGTGTCTCATTCAGCTTCTGGCCAGTTACCAATTTGCAATATGCTAAACTGTCTTTTGTGCCTCCCCCCCCCCATTTTAATAGTAGTCCGGTTAAAGTTGTATCAGACTTTGTGGTCACTTTCAAAGATACAGACCCATGATGCTTGCAGAAGTGAAACCCTTAACCTTATCAACTAATTAAAGAACCCAAAGTAGAATAATGAGGTGTGTGGAGACAGAGACTCCGTTATCGGGGTCATCGTTCATCAGAGCCCATTGAACAAGTAGGAGATAATTGAGTAAGCAAGTTTCCTATCTGGAACATGAAATCTTGCAACGGCTGGTTAATTAAATCATGATAAAATCATCCTGTGGCAGGTGCAAAGTACTGAGAGTTTATTGAGATGTCCACAATGGAACGATGCCAGGATCTTAGCATTCCTTCGACTTTAGGAAATGTTTACCAAAATCTTTCTGTAGAGGTTTTTGGGTGTTTTTCTTTTGGGGGGGGGTTATTAGTTGGTTTCTTTGTTTTGTTTTAGAAAAAGTCATATTAAACCAGGCAGTATGGTGCACACCTTTAATCTCAGCACTCAGAAGGCAGAAGCAGGAGGATTTCTGTGAGTTTGAGGCCTGCCTGTTCTACAGAGTGAGTTCCAAGACAGCTAGAGATACACAGAGAAACCCTGCCTTGAAAAACAAAAAGGAAAAAGAAACAAAAAATGTCATATTAAGCAGGCCTTTACTGTCATGTTAATGCAGTTCTTTAATATCAGTAACTCAGAAATAGAGATGGGAGAATGGAAGATTCCAGTTCAGCCTGGGCTACAGAAGTGAGTTCAAGGCCAGCCTGGGTGATTCTGTGAGAACCTATCTCAAAATAAAAAGTGAAAGGCACCTGGGGATGAAGCTAAGTAGCAGAACACTTGACCAACAGGCATGAAGTCCTGGGTGTCAGCCCTAGCACTACAAAAGTGTGTGTGTGTGTGTGTGTGTGTGTGTGTGTGTGTGTGTGTTCAGATATGTGTACAGGTGTGTGCATTGCACAGGCAACTAGAAGTTCCAGTATAGGAACGATTCACTCTGTACACAATTCCTTAGCTCTCCCCCATCAGTCACGGGCCCATAAGTAACTAGGTCAGGAGGTTTGATCCAACTGTGCCAAAGACAGATAAGGGCCAGCAGTGGATACCAGGAATGGTGGCTGGAACTTCAGACAAAGCCACATTTGCTCATTTTGCCTTGCTCGGAAACCTATTTTCTCTGGGTGGTACTTTCTCTGTTCGGGATGGGGATGCCCATAGGCCTGGCACTGGGTTTGGAGCCCAGGACCTCGTGAGCACGTAGCAAGCTCCACTTCTCTAACATGTTTTTGCTCTGACCCTGGACCCAAGAAACTTCTGATTTCTCTTGCATCATCTTTCAGATTCATGGACATTGCAGTAGACATCACTCATTGGCACTTACAAACCTGAGGGTTGGGGGGGGTTGCTTTTTTTTGTTTGTTTGTTTGTTTGTTTTTCAGTAATACCAGGGGAGGGGAAAAGGAAGAGGGGAGGAGAAGGGGAGGGAAGAGGAAGAGATGGAGAAGGGGAAGAGGAAAAGGAGAGGTAGAGAGGGGAGGTGAAGAGACAGGAGAGGGGAGGGATGCCATTTTTATATCTGTCACATGTCCCTTCTTTCATGCTTTCCTATCTGAAGCTGACACATTTTTTTTCTCCTTCTACCCTTCCATGCTAATCCCCCTGCACCAATGCTCCACATCTGACTTGTTACTGAAAAAAAAAAAAATCACACAGCCCTTTATTTTCGTTTCTTCACTATTTGACCCAAATGGTAAAGGAGTCGGTGAAACAACAGACAGAATCCTAACTTCGTTGGTTTTCCAGCACCCAAAGGCTGGTGACCTGTTTTCAGAGATTTGCTTTTATTATTTTTTTAAAGATTTATTTATTATGTATACAGTGTTCTGCCTGCACACCAGATGGGGGCACCAGATCTCATTTTAAGATGGTTGTGAGCCACCATGTGGTTGTTGGGAATCGAACTCAGGACCTCTGGAAGAGTAGCCAGTGCTCTTAACCACCAAAATCCTCCTTAGCTTCCTTCCTCCTGTGCATGACCGCCCACTGAGTGCAGACCCAGGCACCGCCCACTGAGTGCAGGCCAGGCACCGCCCACTGAGTGCAGACCCAGGCACCGCCCACTGAGTGTAGACCCAGGCACCGCCCACTGAGTGTAGACCCAGGCACCGCCCACTGAGTGCAGACCCAGGCACTGGGTGGTTCCTACCATTCCCTAAGTGCCTGCTTCTTCCTGGCTTGGAAGATGGGCGAGGTTGGTCTTTTCACTTTGCATTTCATAGTATCAGCACAGGACCCAACAGGGCTTGTTACAGGAGAGTATGTACTTGATGAAACAGATCCAAATGGCAAACCAAATGACTCACTTGGAGTTACTAGGCCAAGCTCACCAAGTCAGACCCTACAATCCCTGAACAATCAAGAATCTCAAGGCTCGGCAGACTTTCAGCCAAGGCTGCAACCTTTGTCCAAATCCTACATGGTAGAGGGAGAGAGTCAACTCCGGAAAATTGTCCTCTGACCTCCACACACAGGCTATGGCACGCTCGCACACAAATAACTAAATGCAGTTTTTTAAAAAACGTTTTTTAAAGAGAAAGTATTTTCAGGCAAAGAGATTCCCTTATCCAACACCTGAGTTTGCACATGATTAGGACATCTACAGTTTCCACATGCAATGCCTCAAAAACAATAGTTCTTAGCAGAGCCTGGTGTGGTGGCCACACACCTACACTCCTGGCTACTCTGGAGGGCTGAGGCAGGAGGATCACAACTTCAAGATCTGCCTGGGCTACCTAAGGAATAAGAAGCCAGACTGAGCCATCTGTCTCAGAACACTGAAAGAAGAGGAAGGTTGGGGAATGTAGCTCAGGGGAACAGCCCTTGCCCAGTGTGTGCAAGGCCCTGGGTTTAATCCTCAGGACCTCGGGGCAGTGGGTAAAGGTGCTTGCCGCCAAACCAGAAGGAAAAGAACAGCCTCACAAAAGCTGTCTCCTGGCCAGCAAAACTCCCTACAAACACAATAAACAAGCAAATAATAATTTGAAAATATTTAGATTCATTTTGTGCGTGTGAATGTTTTCCCTACATGTCTGTCTGCGCCATGTGTGTGTGCCTGGTGTCTGTGGGGGTCAGAAGAGAGGGTAAGGGTTTCAGATCCCCTGGAACTGGAATTACACATAGTTGTAGGGCATTATATGAGTGCTGGGAACCAAACCCAGGTCCTCCACGAGTGCTTTTAATCACTGAGCCACCTCTCCAGTAAACTTTTTAAAAAGAATAGTCCAACCAGATCCACACTCACAAGGGTGAAAAGAAAGATGGGGTAGATGGTGGCATGAAGAGCGATCTATAGATTGAGGCCACAGTGCATATTCATTGAGTTCCAGACCTACACTAGCACTGATGGGGCCTGGACGCCAAGGAATTGGCCCAGAGCCTAAGGCCTGGGGCGCCGGAGGGGCGTGGCCTGCGGTGACCCCGCCCCCTCCGCGGGCCCCGCCCCCGTCGCGAGCCTCCCGGCTCACCTGACCCTCCCGCCGCTCACGTGATCCGTCTCGGCGCCGCCATCTTGGAGCTACGGCTGAGGAGGGGGCAAAGCGGGGAAAAGAGAGGGAAAAAGAGTCAGGAGCGAGGCGGGCGAGGACGAGGGCGCGGGCACGGCGAGGTCCCGGCCGGCCAAAGGAGGCTCGCAGAAGCAGCACCCCGCCGCCCGACCGCAGGTACCGAGCCCCGGGCCGCCCCTCCGCTTGAGCGCCGCCGGCCATGTGCGGCCTCGCCGGTGACGCCCGCTTCCTCGCCGGTGACGCCCGCGGCGCCGCTACGCGCCGGCGCGCCGGGGCCCGGTGTGCACTGTGGTCCCTCCGCCGGGCCTGCGGACACTCCGCTCCCGCCGGGCCGCTGGGGGTGGGGGCCCCGCTGGGGCCGCTTCCTGAGACGTGAAAACGCTTAGGCCAGCCAGGATGGAGCTTAAGTTTCTTTAATCCCCCGGCCCTTTGAGCGCTCCGTGGTATTGGAGAAAGCAGTGCAAAAGGAAAACAGCAGTCCTGGCCTCCCACACTCTGGGATGCCTGAGATCGCTGAGACCCTTGGGGAAAGCGCCCACCTTTCCAGACCTGGGGCTTCCCGATCGCTTGTTGGGAGTGCGAGGCCTGGGTGATTGATTAGGCCCAGGCAGCCCCCAAGGCAGCCTTTTTAGGTTCCTGCAGTGGACTGGAACTTCCTATCAGTCTACATCGCTCCAGGCAATTACTGGATTTGTCACCTCTTCTGAGTTTGTACTTTCCACTGTACTGAAGTCTGATTCAGTGTAAGGATTGGTTTCTTGATTCAAAAGATAAAGCCTGACCCTTCGCTTCTTTATCACGGTAACTCGTTGGAAATTAACTTCGGAGAACGCCCTAGCAGTGTACTAATTCTACTTAACTATAATCGCGAAGTTAAGTTACTTTTTTACGCGAACTGAATAAGCGTACCTAAGCAGCTATAGGGAACCGTAGCAAAGAAATGGAGGACCAGGGCATGAAACTGCATTAGAAAATACATAGGTCAAGCCATGCTATCATATCTTTTCGTGAAGCCGTTCTGCCCACTGTATTTGACTAATTTACATAATCACCCCTTAGGCAGTAATTTCGGTTAAAGTTAAAATAGCAATATGTCATTTATTATTCCATATTGGTTAGAAAATTATGTCAGTAAAACCAGCAGTTTGCTTAGTAAATTACTTACAAGGTGGGGGGAGACTTAAAATATACAATTGTTAGATGTTTCTAGACTCATTCGTTTTAGCTTCTGCAAAGTCCTCTACTTGTTAAGTAAATTATGTAAATTTTCCTCACATAATTACATTTCGTGAACAGCTTTCTGAAATTTCTTTTTAATGTTAAGTATTGGGAAGTTTCTTCACCGCCAAAGTAAGTTATTATGTTTCACCAAGAAAGAAATGTTTGATTCTGTTTACTTTCCTTCTTGGCCACAGCTAGATTGTGAAGATTGATTCAGGAGACCGCATTAATTTCAGGAATTTATTGAAAAAGACACTGGCTCTGCCATTAACAGCCATGTAACCTTGGGTAAGTCACTTAACGCCTTACCGAGTTGCCTGGTTTATAAACAGTGACACGGTTGTAACTAGGCGCAAAGAATTCTGGGGATCTGGTGCAGGGAGATGTTTGTTGCTGCCTACCATATGGAGCTGTTTCTCTCCTCTGTGTTCACCGTGTTCCAGTTGAGGATGGAACTTGGTGTATTAGAGAAAGCATGGTCTGAGAATACCACTGGCAAGGATTCCAGTTCTTAACCAGATACCACCTCTCATCTGTGAGCCTCAAATGTGTTACTTTACACCTCCTCTCCCAAGAAGGGGCTGGGTTCCGGGAACTAAAGGAACGTTACAGGAAATGGATGAAGGCCCTACTCTGTGAGCTCACTGCTCAAGGACATTGGTCTCTAGCACTGCCCTTGGCTTGGGTGTGTCATAAATTACACTGAAGCTGAAAATACTGCTTGATGTCAGTTAGGCCTCTGTCTTAATTGTAGCCACTAAATCAGAATATTGTCTGTGGCTTGGTGCCAGCTAAGAAACCCCAGACTAGGAAACCCATGTACTTACATATTTATACTTTGGTTTTCTCTGAGTAGCTATTATTAAGTTGAGCTTAGAAGAAATTATGGTTGATACTAGGAATGTCTAAAGTATAAGTAGCATTTAGGTTACATTTAATAGACAGTTTCTAATTCCATGCTCTAAAAGTTTATCCAGCTTTACCCTCACATTTAACATTGGAAGAATCTGAAACAGTAACTTGCCCAGGGACACACAGCACTCCAGAGGAGGGAGGGGCCATGGCTTCTTCTGAAGTTTGGAGACCCTGAAAGAGTGTGAAATTCATTAGCCATCACTTCTGCTGTTTTGGCCTTGAAGTTTTTGTTTATTTGCCTAGTTGGGGGAAAAAAAAAGGAATCCTTAGTGTAAAAGAGAATGTTCTTTATTCCATCATATTCTGCCTTCACATATACCCAGAAAATTACAGCCCTTTCTCTGAGCCCACATGAATTGTCGTCATATTGCTGTAAGTAAAAGGAACTAATTAGATACACAGATAGACCAAATAGCAAATTATAAGAAAGTAAAGACAACTGAATTTGTTCACTTTTCTTGGGAAAGACACTAATTACTAGCTTTTTCCCATGGATTACTGTTGTCAAGGACAGAACTGAAAGACTCTGTGGGAAAGACTAGAACATTTCTGGTTTGGGAGAATAGTTTGTTTACTTGAGCTGACTTGATCTAATGGTGTAGCTAGTGATTCCAAACAAGAGAGCCCCACTTGACTAATGTCTCTAGACTTGGGTCCTAGTGACCCTTCCAGTGCAGCCACCTGAGGGAGCACGCTTATTCCTCCTTGTAAGTAAATGTTCATGTGAGAGAGAGCAGGGTTCTTCCTCTCTCCGCCTTTCTTGTCACTCTTACCCTATTATTAACAGCAACCAACTCAAATGAGGGTAACTCGGGGAGGTTGTGTTTACCAAGGTGGTATTACTCCAGGTACTGGGCTCCTATAGGCAGGCCACGGGGATGGTGGAGTTAGTGGGAGCAGCAGCAGGAGAAGGGCAGAACCAAAGCCAGAAACAGATTGGTGGAGAGCAGCTGTTTGGGAACCTTCTGTAAGAAACAAGCAATCCAGGGTGACCTAGAAGTGGGGAACCAGGACATCGACTGACCTCTGACCCTCATGGCTCTCCTCCATTGGCGGTGTCAGCCAGAGGACCAGGGAGCATAATGATAAAGTCCTCCTGGGACAGAGAGTCCCATAGAGAGGAGGGGGGTGCTAAGTCTGCAGTGCCCCCGCGTGTTGCAGATCCCGCCTCTGCCAGCTCTCTGCCCAGAGGGGCCTTCGTCTCTGGGGACTTGGCCATTGTGTACTTAGTATTGGAAAGCCAGCGCTTAGTCTTCTGCTTTCTCTGTGTGCTTGTCCTTATCCACCTGTGAGTAACTGAGTTGAGTGTAAAATGCCCCTGTCCTACCTAATTGCTTTGAGCCTCACACCTGATTGTGGTTCTGCTTTCTCTAAGGCAGGGTGGTATTTTTATCTTCAGTTGTTTTCATTATGGAAAACTTTAGGCATTTGCACAAGTAGAAAGAAGAGTGTAATGAACAGGTGATTGGCCCCACCTTCGTTGACAGAATCAGTTCTTCTCCCCGGACACATCTCCCCAGCCCCGCCCTCCTTCCATCATCCATCATCCATCATCCCCCATGATCATTGTTCTTTTTTTTTTTTTTTTTTTTTTTGAGCTGTTTGCCCCAGCCCTTGAAGTCCAAGGGTGGTGTTCCATGTCGTGATTTGAGTCGGTAGGGCTGTATGCTGACTCTTTCATCTCCTAGTCAAATGAAGTTTAGCTCACTTGGCATATATAATGTACAAATAAATATCTACATATTTACACGTTCTGTATGTATAATACACATGGACTGACTGCATGAATGGGCTAAGAAAAAAATTGGAAATTGAAGAGTTGGTTTTAGTGACCTCCTCTCCCTTGTACTTTACTAGGGGCTGTATGTGACCTTTTATTTAACAGATTTTTCTTTTAATGAGTTTCTGCTTGCTTGTTGGTTTTTGCCTGCAGACCTAAACTGTTTTTTTCAGGTGTTTCTTGATGCGTTTTATGTTGTCATATCGGCTTGATAGCTGCCTTACTGTACTTATCCCCAAATGTATGCAGCCTGTAAAATGAGATACTTACATAAACGTTCTGGGGAAATTGGAGCATCTGCTGCAAGTTGCCATTAGCTCTTAATGCCTGAGTGTACACAGCTTTGAAAGTGAGTGTTGTGTCAAATTCTTTTCTATTAGTCTTTTTCTTGATCTCACTTTCTAAGGAACACTCGGAACTATCCATGGGGAGCAATTTGCACCTCTCTGTCTCCCTCTTATTGGATCATTCAGCAGGAGACTCAGGAGTCACCTTTGGAACACTAGGTGTGAGGTCTGTTGAGCAAACTGTTCTCTGGGTTATCAGCCAAGATCAAGGCAGACCTTGGCTTTACAGTAGTGTAGAGCTGGATCGGGCCAAGAAACTGGAAATGTGTGGGTTTTGCTACTTTTATTATGTAACTGATACACCTTTAATGTTGAGCTGAATGACAACAAGAATCCTTCAGCTCTGGCCCCACAGGGAAATCAGCCACAGCCTCAACTTTCTTCCACCAAAACACATGGAGTCTTGTTTTGTTTGGGCTGGTTTGTGCATAACCCTCGCATGAGTGGAGGTCAGAGGTCCGTGTCAGGTGTCTTCCTCTCTTGATTGCCATATATCATCTGCTTACCCCCACCCCGCCGAGACAAGGTTTCTTCATGTGACAGTTCTGGGGTTGTCGGCATGTGCCATCATGCCCAGTGCCCAGCTTTTACAAGGGTTCTGGGAACCCAGACTCAGGCCCTCATGCATGCAGCAAACACTAACCACTGAGCCATCTCTCTCCAGCCCCTAAAATGGGAATCGAGACTGTGAGATGTGTTTAAGAAGCCACAGAAAGGGTTTTTTTGTTTTTTCCTGAAGAACCACATTGTCCTCTCAGTCCCTTCTCTAGCAGCTGCAAGTTTGCTGTAAAAGTCTAGAAAGACTTGTTCTTCCTGAGGAAACGAAAAGACACAAATGTTCTGAGAGGCGTTTGCAGAGCTGAGGTGGCTATGTTATGGCTCTGGAATACACCCTCCATTAGGTGGCTGTTACAGGCTGGCTCTAGAAAAAGAAAAGCCAGTGTTCGCTTTTAGACTAAAACACTTGCATTTTTGTCTGACGTGAACCTAAATGGAGAAAACTCATGCTGGAAAGAGTGGGGCACAAGAGAGGAAAGTTCTACACAGTGTGGCCAGAAACTGGGATAGGCAGGCCTGAGATGCAGGTAGGAGCACTGTGGGAGCCTGCCTGGTGGGTTAGGTGTGATCCTTGGGGAGGCGGAGCCTGCCTGGTGGGTTAGATGTGATCCTTGGGGAGGCGGAGCCTGCCTGGTGGGTTAGGTGTGATCTTTGGGGAGGTGGAGCCTGCCTCATGGGTTAGGTGTGATCCTTGGGGAGGCGGAGCCTGCCTCATGGGTTAGGTGTGATCCTTGGGGAGGCGGAGCCTGCCTCATGGGTTAGGTGTGATCCTTGGGGAGGCGGAGCCTGCCTCATGGGTTAGGTGTGATCCTTGGGGAGGCGGAGCCTGCCTCATGGGTTAGGTGTGATCCAAGCTAGGGGGCCCTGGGCAGGATTCTGCCATGAGGGAGATGAGTGCAAAGTCTGTTACTGGAGTTTACGAATAGTGCCTAGTTTTTGGTCTATAGCTTGTGGCACTGAAAATCGTGCTGGCATTTATTGAATGTTGTGAGTAAGGTTCCAGAATGTACCTAAAATGTGGAAAAACAAAACTTGTTGCTGGAAAAGAGCCTAAACTTAAAAATGTGATCCAAGTCAACAAAATAATCTCACTTTAAGTAAAAGGAAATGTCTGAAGTGAGAGGGCTGCCAGGAAGTATAAAGAATATATTCAGAGGCCTAAGGGAGTGTGATTTCGTGCTGTGTTGTGCTTGCAGAGTTCCCTGCCTTGCTGCATTATTCAAGCCTACCATAACTCCTTACTGACCTTTCTGGAGCTGAACCAGAACTGGAGTGGCAGCATTTTCTCTCTGCCTCCCTTCCCTGTTCAGGAAGGAGAAGCATGGCTGGGAATGAGGAACAATCGACCACTGATGTGACCTCTAGAAAGCCACAGCATAGTTTGTGGTTTATCTGGTGGACCATAAATCAAAGGAAAGAAGAGGAGGAAGTGGAGCATTGCTCTTACTTAGTTTCATTTGCATAGTACTTCCCAAAATTCAGTGTCCTTTATAGTAGGTTAAAATGAATATATTTTCAGAATTTCAAACATTTGAGCAGAAAAGTGTGATTTCGTTATCTACAGTTAAAATTTGGCATAAGAAATAGTTTATCCAGAGTTGTATCAAATCATGTTGGCTTCACACACACTGATGCTTCCCAGTAGCTTGAGGTGACTCCGAATGCCCTGAGGACGGCAGTGTTTCTTTAAACAAAGAATCTGTGTCTCTTTAGTTCTAGACTTTCCAGGGCGAAACAGGGCAGGGTAGGGATGCAGGGTAAAGGAACTCAAGGTCTCCATCTGTCTCTAGGACAGTGGTTCTTAGCCTCTGGGTCGTGACCCCTTTGGCAAACCTCTATCCAAAAATATTTACAAAATGATTCATAACAGTAGCAGAACGAGAGTTATGAAGTAGCAACAAAAATCATTTTATGGTTGGGGGTCACCACAACCTAAGGAGCTGTATTAAAGTCACAGCATTGGGAAGATGAGAACCACCGCTCTAGGAGATGCATTTCAAAGTGGAATTCTGAACTATTTAAGTCTGTGTCAGGGATCTCCTAAGTTGAGGATAGGTAAGCATTCCAATCAGACACCAGAGTTAACATTGTTTTTCTGCATTACATGCATGTGATTGTCCCATAACCAAAGCCCTCTGCTGTGCACTGTCCCTAGATATGGAAGAAAGAAACAGCATTGCCATGTTGGTGTCAGAGATTGGAGAACAGGAGGCTGTGTTAACTGCTGAAGGAGTCCTCAGCCAGGCCTCGGAAGTTGACGGGCAAAGAAAAGCCAAAGCAGATCCATTGGTCCATGTCATCCAGAAGTTAAGCAAGATAGTGGGGCACGAAAAGTCACAAAAATGTCTTCTGATTGGGAAGAAGCGCCCGCGCCCAAGTGTGACACCACTCTCTCTTGAAGCCCTAGAGCACTGTGAGATTCCAGCTAAAACAGCCGAGTCCCCTGCTGCTGAGATTAGGAAATCTGAGATGTCACAAGCAAATTCTACTCCAGATTCTCTTGCCTCAAATGATGGAAAGGCTATGTCCTACCAGTGTAGCCTTTGTAAGTTCCTGTCGTCGTCCTTCTCTGTGTTGAAAGAGCACATCAAGCAGCACGGGCAACAGAATGACGTGATGCTCATGTGCTCAGAGTGCCACATGACCTCCAGAAGCCAGGAGGAGCTCGAGGCTCATGTGGTGAATGAACACGAAAACAGTGCCAGTAGCCACATTCAGCCCAGCTCCTCCTGCCAGGGAGCCACAGAAAGAAAGAGTGAGACCGTGGTGGACGTCCCAGTGAGCATGGGCATCCCACAGGCCCATACCGTCCAAAGTGCAGCCGGGGCAGAGATGGGCAGGAGGAAGTGGTATGCCTACGAGCAGTACGGCATGTATCGATGCCTGTTTTGTAGCTACACGTGCGGCCAGCAGCGGATGTTGAAGACACATGCTTGGAAACATGCAGGGGAGGTTAACTGCTCCTATCCAATCTTTGAGAATGAAAATGAGCCCCTCGGCCTTCTCGCTTCTTCGGTGTCTGCTGCACCTGGCGGGGTCGACGCGGTTGTCATTGCTATCGGGGACAGTGAACTCAGCATCCACAATGGGCCATCTGTACAAGTACAGATTTGCAGCTCTGAGCCACTGTCCTCCTCATCTCCTTTAGAAGAGAGCACAGAGGAGGGAGTGCACCTCAGCCAGTCAGTCACCCTGGACTCTAACGAGGAAGAGACGCTGGAGGTGATGTCTGATTCCGAGGAGAATCTGTTTGCTGATAGTTTGCTCTCATCAGCACAGAAAATCATTAGCAGCAGCCCAAACAAGAAAGGGCATGTGAATGTCATTGTGGAGCGTTTGCCAAGTGCGGAAGAAACCCTCCCGCCAAAACACTTCCTCCTGAATGCTGAGATGGAAGAGGGGAAGAGCCTGAGGCCTGCCGATGCGCAGACTGGGTGTGGAGCAGCAGGAGACGTGTTCCATGCTGATAAATGTACTGTTGATATTGGGGGATTGCTCATCGGCTGGAGCAACGCAGAGAAGAAAGAAAGTGAGCTGAGTAAGGGCCTGGCTGCTGACGAGAATGCCCCACCAGGACGAAGAAGGACAAACTCTGAGTCTCTCCGGCTGCACTCCTTAGCTGCAGAAGCCCTTGTCACCATGCCCATAAGAGCTGCTGAACTAACGAGAGCCAGCCTTGGGCACTATGGGGACAGAAACCTTTTAGATCCAGACACTGGACAAAGGCAGGTCAGTGGTCCATTGGCGGCATACTCAAAAAAAATCATGTCTCCTCTTAAGAACTCTTCCGATGGAGTGGCAAGTTTAAACCAAAGCAGTTCCACTGTGGTAGAGCTCCCGGAGGGAAGGCAGGAATTGTCAGATGGGCAAGTTAAGTCTGGCATCAGCATGTCCCTTCTTACTGTAATAGAAAAACTGAGAGAAAGGACAGACCAGAATGCGTCAGATGACGACATTTTGAAAGAGTTGCAGGACAATGCCCAGTGTCAGCCCAATGGTGATGGGAGTTTGTTAGGGTCCAACGTGGTGGAATACATCCCGGATGCTGAGCGGCCCTACCGCTGCCGCCTGTGCCACTACTCGAGTGGCAACAGGGGCTACATCAAGCAGCACCTGCGTGTCCATCGGCAGAGGCAGCCTTACCAGTGTCCTATCTGTGAGCACATAGCTGGGAACAGCAAAGACTTGGAAAGCCACATGATCAACCACTGTAAAACCAGAATACACCAGTGTAAGCAGTGCAAAGAGTCTTTCCATTACAAGGTGAGCGACGGTCGTGAGGGTTGCCAGGGACTTTGTAGATGTAGTCCAGCCACCCCATTTTGTATATCAAGAAAATGAGCTCCAGGGAAGTTTGGTGATTTGCCCAGAGACACCCCCAACAAATTCACTTTGAAGATGGGTCTGAAAGCCGAGTGTCCACATTGCTGTCCAGAACCCCGCCCCCAGCCCCTTAGTCTGCTGCCCACCTGCTTTGTTATCCCCCGCACCTGTTGCTTTTGTGTTTTCACTTATAAAGGAATGTGGAGTAGGCTGATGGGCACACATTTTACATAATGGGCTATATCAGCTGCCACACAACCAGCAAAAAGTGATTTGTGTCACTGCAGAAGGGAAGCAGGCAATGAGGCTTACTGGGAGACAGAAGCGTAGAAACAAAGCCATATTTGCTGTTGCTAGATAGTTGAGGGACTTCGCTAGGGATCTGCCCAGAGCCTCACACCAGCTAGGCAAGTGCTTGGCTGCAGAAGTATATCCCCAGCGCTTGGTCTTGTGAGTCTTGCTGAGTGTCCCAAGCAGCACTTGAATTTGTAGTCCTTTTCAGGCTCGCTTCTGTGTGCTGAGATTACAGGACTATGCCCCTACACATGGCCATTAAATGGACTTAAGTGGGTATTCAAGGCAGATGTTTATCGTACATATTGAGCCAGAAGCTGGTATAAAATGTTACTACCCTTTGTAAAGGATACCTGCAGTCAATCCTGAGGTCATTATTGACTTAGATCTCCTTCAGTGTACCAGTTATTAAAAATGAACCTTTGTTGGCCCACGGGGCATAGGCTATCTCACAGATTACCTACAGTTGGGGGTCCAGGTGGTGAATTTTTTAAGCAACCAAAGTTGCTCCTGTCTGAGGTTCATTGGAACTTGGATCACACTCATGAAATTCCAAATAGCACATCCAGAGAGGTTCCAGTAGCAAGTTCCAGAAGTATCCACCTTTGCTTTGCTGCCTCTGTCCTTCTGATTTGGGGTGGAAATAGTTCCTGTAGTGCCTCTAGCTGGTGTCAGAAGGTAGAAGTTAATGAAGCCTGTGGTTGCTGGTGAGCTTTCTGTTTACGGGCATGTGGAGTTACCCCCTCACCTTCTAGCCTGTAGGCCATGTGGGAAGTGTGCCCATGCTGAGTGTAAACGCCTCCGAAGATGGGTATCCTCCGAAGATGGGTATCCGTTCAAAGAGCATGAGAAGAGCGATGGACTTCTCAATGGGATTGCAGTCACCTTGTGTCTGTCTTTCTATAATTTCACATGTGTCAAATGGTTTTTAGGAGATGTAACTTCAAAATATTAATTTTTAAAAAAGCAAATAGTAAATTAGTAAGGACTTGGAGGCAATGAGGAGTAGATAAGGTCCAGGTGGTGAATTTTTTTTTTTTTTTTTTTTTTTTTTTAAAGAGGAACAAAAGCTGCTTTAAAAAAAAAAAAAAAAAATCACTCTAGCACCCAATTGGTAATGGATTCTAGGCCAGAGGTTCCAAACGCAGTCAGCCCTTTGCATAGCCTCCTGGTAACCCAGAAGGTGTATTTGCTAGAAGTTACCGGTTAATTTCTTGCCTTTTTTTTTTTTTTTTTTTTTTTTTTTTTTTTTTAGAGCCAACTGAGGAATCATGAGAGAGATCAGCACTGTCTGCCCAACACCTTGTCAGTAGCTTCAAATGAGCCAAGAATTTCCCGTGATGCCGCTGATGGAAAGTGTGCTCAGGAAGGTATCTGCATTTTCATTAGGGTCTATTCGCTGTACAGGATGATGGTTTTCATCAGGGCATCTTTGTAAATGCATGTAATGTACCTTGATCATGTTTGCACATCCCATTGTCCTCACATGTGCCTTGTTAAATACAGGCTGCATTGACAAGGGTCTGAGGTGAAAATGGAGCGGCATGTACTCTCCTCTGGTTCTGTGCTGTGCATGGGAGTGACTCCCCTTTGTTCCTAATGATATTCTGAGAACTGACTAGAGTAACTTACATCTCGTTCTGGGTCAGGGTACTACATTTGTAAGGACTTGGCTGCAACCTCGCAAGTAGTTGTTACAGTTAAAATTTGCAGGGGTCTGTAAGAGCCAGGCTACAGCAGAGACCCTTAGAAAGTAATGGATCAGCAAGTCAGAGAAGCTGGAACTCGAAAAGCAAGCCTGTGCTCCGCCCCTCTCCAGCACTGAATGACCTGCCCAGGCAAAGCTTTTGCAGATGGCAGCCCCCACCTCAAACTTTAACTGAGGCGTCCTGCTGTTATCTTACTCTTCTCCAAGTATGAATGCCAGACTTCATCTGCATTATTTAAACACACACAGGAACCTTTTATGTACTAGTTAGGTGCTAGTCAGCCGAGTATCTGGTAATAGGAATATTAGAATCAAAAGATTTAATTAGAGTTCCATGAAAAGGCGGATGCCACATCCCGAGAATGAGGGATAGAGTGTAATAAGCTGTGCTTCCTGGCATTGGTTCACGTAAATTGATATGCTTTAAATGTCTCCAGTGTGGTACATAGTGTTTATGGGAAATAAAACATATTGGGGTGACTTTCCTTTTTAGATTTCCTAAGAATTAAAGTTAGAACAACTGCAGAGTAAAATGTTTTACCATAATGTCTCATTAAATTATACCCCAGAAAGCATAACTGATTCCAGAATGTTTCTGAAGGAACTGATTTTGACACCACCATAGTACCAGAATCCCCTTGTCAAACAGATGCCACCCCCGTAAAACCATCCTGAACAAAAGGAGTTTACGACATGGCATCTGCTTCCGTGGTGGATGGCTGAGCGAAAACAGTTTTGTTTCCTTTCTACAGAATAGCCCTAAATGCCTCCTTTTATTTTAATTCATTATGTTTCCATATCCCTTCTAAAGGAGACATTAAGCATTAGACATGATTGGCCCGTAAATCCTAATGAGGGAATAAAGTACATGTGACTCGGTAGCGCCACCTGCAGTTGACTCCAGTGCTGGGACTGTTTCCAGCAGCATCAGAGAAAGCAGGGGCTTAAAACTACCCAGTTGTCTTAGCAAATTCAATGAAGACTTCAACGTGGCCACTCCAGCGTCATTGTTTGCACTTTGTCCTCTCTGCAGTTTTTAATCTGTGACTTACACACTTGCTCCTGGGATTAAAGATACATAGGTTTAAAATTGTATACATGGTCACCTTGTGGTTTGGTTTGGGGGGGGTTGTTTTTTCATTTGTTATTTATTTATTTACTTTTGTGGTGCTGAGCAAGCACTCTTCAACCAGGCTTCACCCCAGGACTGACCATGCTTTAGTTTTAACCCCTACTTAGCTGCATTTGCTGTTCTGTCACAGTAGTGTAGCGGGCATGGCTGATCTCTTCCTGTATACGGTCTTGGATGGGATGGGATTAACTCAGTATTGTTATGGTTCACAATTTGTCCAGTTCTCTTAACTATTCTGTATGCATATAGGAGGAAGGTGCATGACTGCCACCCCAGCCTCTGTTGCTGTATAGTACAGACTGCACTCAGCATGCTTTCTGTACAAACCCGATAGAACAGTACTGCGGCATGCCTGTCTTGAGCAGGTTCTCTTGCCAGGTGCTGGGAGTGCAGGAAGGGGCATCAGTACCCTTGAGGAAGTCAGAACTGAACTAGTGGGTATGACATCAGTAACCGTCTTGGCCTGGCACCTCCGGACATCCAGACAGTGTCTCTGTATGAAGAGTAAGTTGCACTTTCTTAGAGACAACTTGTACAGCCCTGGGTTTTGATGCCAACATGCCAGATGTGCCTAGACGTGTGCAAAAAGAGTACAAGGCCTCTTCAAGCCATTTGGTGAGGTCCACTGCTTCCCATTCTGTAGAAAAGATAAATGGGACCTCGAGAGGTGACATGATTTGCTCATTCTCAGGCCAGTGGCAGAGCAGAAATCAAGCCCAAGTTGTTAAACTTTAAATCCAGTCTTGATTCTATTGGAAACATTTGCTTGAGGTAGCACTGGCTCTCATTCTGTGCTATATTAGGCTTTTCCATCTGTCAGTTTTATTAGTTGTCATTGATCTGTAATATTTCTCACAAAAACCATTATCCAATATTTCACACTTCATTTTTTTAGGTCTTTTTTTTTTTTTTAATAAAAAACTATATTTGGAACAATGCCATTTATAATCAAGTCCAAGTTTTTTAACCTACCAATTAAGAGCAATACTTAGATTGTAATTATGATTAGTGTGTTAATGTTATAGATTTATACCGGGAAATTGGGACATTTTGTTCTGCCTGGCAGTAGTTATTAGCCAAAGAAAATTTCAGTTTTAGAAAGCTTAAATTTAACTTAAGAATTATCTTTGTTGAAATTGCAGTGTGGGTTTTCTTTTCTTCTGTGATTTTCCTTTGCTACTGTGTGCACTCCCTTCCCACCTCGGCTTGCTTCATGGCTTGCTTCCTGCCAAGAGCACACATTCTTCGCACTCTGCCTGATCCTTGAGCTCCCATGTTTACCTGCTGTCTGAAAATTACAGTGAGGATGCCCTGGGCACCAGTAAACAGAGCTAACAGTGCTTATGATGGAGTCCTATAGCTTATGTTGTCTTGTGTGAACTACTTGTTTGCAAAAATGAGCTAATACTAGGGCTTGTCTCCTGGATCCAGGTTTGCCACACACAAGGGAGCTGTGCATTTACAGCCTTTGTCCCCAAAACCCATCAGCCCACTAGGTGTGACTGCTCAGTTGTAGAGCACTTCAAAGCTGGCAGCTGCTTTTCCTCCTCAGTTTAATTGAAGGCTGACATTTGGCAGAAAACGGAGCAAACACACAGGCTTAAAAACGTGAGATTTTTTTCCAAGTAGCTCACTGTGTATGCCTCGTGGCCACACTTTATTTTTACTTTATGTGAATCACTATTTTGCTACATGTAATGTATGTGTACTATCTGAATACAGTCCCCATAGAAACCAGAAAAAGATCCCTTAGAACTCAGGTCATGGATGAGTTTCAGACAGTTGTGAGCCACCATGTGGGTACTTGGAACTAGCCGGGGCTTTTAACCACTGAGCCATCTCTCCAGCCCCTTGCCACACTTTATAATACTTTATTATTTTAGCCTGTTGGCAAATAAATGTTTTAAAGAGACACGATGCCCGTTATTGGTTAGAATGACGCCTTTCAAATTCACAGTGTATCTTGGTTAATTTAGCTGCTAGACAGTCAGCACAGCAGCTGGGAGCAAGTTCATTCTGCTCTACAACTTGGTCCACAGAACCAGCCCAATCTGCCAATATTTACAGGTCAGATGGCGTTCATCTCATGCCTGCTGATGGTCTGGGTGCACGATAGTCTAGGGAGCTAGCTGCTTAACACGTGTTAATTATACTGTGGGAGAGCATTGATTCAAATGTTGGTATGTTGTGTTGATTACTTGTTCATGATGATAGGGTGTAAGTACTGCCATTTGAGTCTTACCAAATCATGCCTCTAACCCTCTCTCCTTCAAGGAAACAAGTCTTCAACCCAGAAGCAGTATAGGTGCGATGTGTGCGATTACACAAGTACAACTTATGTTGGTGTCAGAAACCACAGACGAATCCATAACTCAGATAAGCCATACAGGTAAGTGTGATGGTTCTAATGCTTGTATTCAAACAGTAAGTTTTATTATTGTGATAAATATTTTAGAAATAGTTTGGAATGTATAGAACTTGTTGAAAAACATGTTAAAAACTTAGAAATGGGGCCGGGCAGTGGTGGTGTATGCCTTTAATTGTAACTCTCGAAAGGCAGTTTGAGACCAGCCTGGTCTAAAAAGCAAGTTCCAGGACAAGCTCCTAAGCTATAGAGAAACCATGTCTTAAAAACGAGACAAAAAATCAAAACCTTAGAAGAAATGGTTACATACTGGTTCTTTTTTTTTTTTTTTTTTTTTTCTGTTTTTGGTTTTTTGGTTTCTTAAGACAGGGTTTCTCTGTGAGTTATGGAGTCTCTGTAGACCAGAGATCCGACTGCCTCTGCCTCCCTAGTGCTGGGATTAAAGGCGTGCACCCCCTCTGCCCGGCTACATACTGGTTTCTTAAATATCTTTTTAGTTTAAGAAATGTTACTCATGAGTCTTAGTGCAGCAGATATTCTGGGGCAGTTGGAGTACTGGAAGAGATCCATGTCCATCGATTCTATGTCCTCATTTCACTTGAGTCTTAATTATAGCAGTGTCCAGTGCTTTAGAGCCCGTTACCATGATATAAGGTCAGGTACTTTCATTATCCCAGCAAAAATCATAAAGCATGAAGGTCATAACGTCCCTGGGAAAAGTTTTGTTTCTGAATATTAAGCTACTGTGGTTTGAGCCGTGTCATTTGATAAATTTTGTCGCAAAAGCAAGTTTTGTCTAATGTGCGTTTAGAGAAAATAAAGTATTTTTGGCTGCCAAGCAGTGACCACTGTTTAGTAAACTTTACTTCGTGAAGCTGCTTAACCCCTTAGCAGCTTCTCCCCCAATTTACCTGTTCCTGGGGTTCCAGGTGAAATACTGATGAGTCGAACAGGTTGCTCCATTAATCTAAATCATGCTTTTAACGTTACCTACTCATGACCCCTTTTCACATGAGAAGTTTTTACACAGCTCCAGGTATGTAGGTATATAAAATAGGTGTGCAAATCACGTCATGTTAAATATTATTCAGTATCTGTACATTTTACCATTTGTTAAAGACAGAAGCAGTGTTAATGAGATATGTGTACTTACTTATTTTACATAAAGAATTATACCTCGGTTGAACAATTGAAAATGAAGGACATAGATCATCTTCAGCATTTTTCAGAATTGATCAATATTTTGATTTTATAATCATCAAAGCTCAGAACATCACTTTACATAAATACCTAATGCAAAGTAGCAAAAGTATGTTTGGGGTCATTTCAGGAACTTTTGGAAATTCTGTCTTGATCCCAAGCCAAAATTCACTGAAGTTTGTTTTTTGTTTTTGTTCTGTTTTCTAATTCAAGTCATTATTTCAAGCAACAGTTTTTAAAATCAAACTTTCTAATGAAGCACAATCTAAAGAAATATGGATTTGGTAAATATGCTGGAGCTGGGAATGTCACTCTGTAGAGTGCTTGCCTTCCATACATGAGCCGTGGCACTTGGAAGTTAGAGGCAAGTAGATCAGAAGTTCGAGGTCACCCTTAGCTCCATGTGGAGTTTGAAGCCAGCATGTGCTATGTGAAACCATGTCTCATAAAGAAACATTAAGTCTGTATTTTTTCTTCTTCTTCTCTTCTTCTTCTTCTTCCTACTTCTTCTTCTTCTTCCTCCTTCTTCTTCCTTCTTCTTCTTCCTCCTTCTTCTTCCTTCTTCTTCTTCCTTCTTCTTCCTCCTTCTTCTTCCTTCTTCTTTCTTCTGTATTTAAACTGAGCAGAAAGATTTGCAGGCATAGTAAAAAGCCCTGTGATCTCAGCTGGGGTGCATCAGGCATTGTCACAGGCTGCTCAGGGCAGGGTGTTCATGCCTTGTGTTGAGAGCACAGACTGCACGCAATGAAGCTACATGATGCGACACACGCATGTGCTGCTAGAAACAGCTCAGAGTCCTTGCATGTGTGAATTAATATTTGATTATCCTGTGTTCAGAAAGCCTTTACTGCTTCCATGTTGTCCATGACCCAATACTCAGTGAGCCAGCTTAAGAGTCGGAAAGCAAACGAAAACCCAACACATTGCTATCTCATACAACGTGGCTCTTGGGCTAGGGAGTTGGCTCAGTGGTTAACACTGGCTGCTCTTCCAAAGGACCTGGGTTCATTTCCCAGCACTCACAGGTCAGCTCACAACCTTCAGTGAGTCCAGTTCTGAGAGATCCAGAGCCCTCTGTGAACAGCATGCATACATGGTGAACAGATAACACCTACAGACAAAAGACCCATACGTGTTAAATAAATAATTTTAATGTGGTTCTAAAATGTAATGTGCTTATGCTCTCAGAGAGAGAGAGAGAGAGAGAATGTATGTGTTTCTGGCCTCAGGCCTGCAGGCATCTGCTGGTGTTGGAGCTCTGGCAGACACTCAGCTTTGCCTTAATACTTAATATTTTCAAGGTAAAGAAGGATTTTTACCAAAACCTGATGGCCACTTATTATTGATAGTCACTCGGTGCTGGACGTTCTAAGTGAGGAGTAGTAGCTGGGATGAACATGTGATTACACATGGTCACACAGGAAAACACCTGTGTTTTCCTGACATCAAAAACTTTACATTTAAATCTCAGTGCCTTTATTCTCGAATGTAATAGTGATGTGCCAAACACACATGATATAGGCAGGAAATGCCTCAGGCCTACAGTTAGAGCATACATTCACTCATTGAGAAATAATGTTACAATTAACATAACTGTCCCAAGTGCTTTGTGAGCTGTATTCCTAACAGAAAAGGCATCTTTACCATCACAGGGCTTGTGTCTCAGACACAGGTTCCAGACTGCGTCCTGATCCACAGGACTAGGCAAAACCTGAAACTCACTGAGTAACAGCATGATGGAACAAGAATTATTTGTATACTACACATCTTAGCCAAAATGGGGATGCTCAAAAAATACTCTGCAGAAGTAACCTCAGTGTGCATATGAAGTGTGCATGAAACATAGGTGGGTTTACTTAGATTTGAGTCTCATTATACGTACATCGATACTCCAAAATGCGGAGTCTGTGCCACTTCTGCTCTGTCTCTGTAGAGGAGGTTTCCCTGAGTAGATTAGGCTCGCAATTATCTGCTGCCATTATGAGGATGATGCAGTGTGATCTTAAAATAATCACAGACTTACAGGACAGTCATGGCTTTCCTAGTCTTGCTTTCTGGCCTTGCCACTGTCTTGCTGCATGGGTTTATATACTCAGATTCTCTGCCAGGACTTTGTCTCCATTGTATAGGTCTGCGACGCTGAACTAGGAGACACAACCTTCTTGATGTCTGGTTTTCCCCACGAGAACCACAGTAGTCCTTTCTTTTTCCTTCATAACCAGTCTGGTCCCCTTTAATTACCTGGTAAACGTGCAGCTGGTGTTTGGGCTTGTCTTCCCAGTTACCTTGTGCACTTTTCTGATTGTTTCTTTGTTTCCTTTCTTCAGAACTGGAATGCTTTTTTGTACAGCTAGCTGGTCTTTGTACACAAGCACAGGGGGCGCCTCCTGTGTTTGAGCAGCCTCCAGTGTTAAGGCTTTTCTATAGTGGCAACATCTTTGCTTGCATTTTGGTTTTCTCTGTTGTGGTTCCAGTCAGTTCCAGCCTGTGTGTGTGATCTGGCAGGTACCCTGTCATGTGTGAGCACTCTGCCTGTGCCAACATTAGTCCTGGTCTTCAGTCTGACCCCTCCATCTTAATAGATAGGGTTTGGGCGAAATTCAGAGCCCCTCCCTACAGATGTTCAGTAAAGGCTGACTTTAAGTTTCTGATGTGCCTCAGATTTGCTCATTTATAAAATGGCTCTGGTTAGCTGTGCAATTTTCATTGAAAAGTAAATGCATGCTATTATTACTATACCTTTTTAAAAATCTGGCCATACACACACACACACACACACACTCTTTCTCTCTCTCTCTCTCTCTCTCATACACACACACACTCACACACACACACTAAATTGTATCCTACCCTACAAGGCCAAAACATGAAGTTTTATTATTAGGTCCCCCTCCCTCCCTCCCTCGTTTCTTTGTGATGCGTGTGGGTGTTTTACCTACATGTATGTCTGTGCAGCACATGCATTCAGTGCCCATGGAGTCCAGAACAGTTAGTCAGATTCCCTGGGGCTGGAATTAGAGAAAGTTTGACTTACCACCTTGGTGTTGGGAATTGAACTCGGGTCCTGTGGGAGAGAAGCCAGTGATTTTCACTGTGGTCGTCTTTCTAGGCCTTCTGGTTAACTTTTGTATCTCTCTCTCTCTCTCTCTCTCTCTCTCTCTCTCTCTCTCTTCACTCCCTTTCCCTTTTTCCTCTCTTTCCTCTCTTCCAAATGTCTTAAATTGAATTGTTGATTAACATTAGCATACATCCTGGAAATTACATAAATCCCAGATTCACACTTGATAAATAACCACAAGTCTTCTCCAGCTTTTGGCAGCACACCCTTCTTGGACTTCCTGTCATTAATTATCCTCACCCCTTTCTCACAAGCGCCATCTTGACTGGTAGCATCATAAATTAGTTTTGTGTGTTTTGAACTTAATAGAAATAGAACCATATGTTGCATAGACTTTTATGCCGTTTCACTCATTACTGTGTGTGTGAATGCTAATAAATTTCACTTCTATATTACATTCTATTATAAAACCATAGTACATAGCTGGGGGTATAGCTCAGAGACTGGTTGCTTGCCTATGTGCACAAACCCTGAGTTTGATCCCTGGAGCTACCAAAACAGTTACTCATTCATTCTATTATTGATAGACATTTGGATTTCCACCAGATTCTTTCCTTGTTATGAATGGTTCCATATAGAACATTTCTTGTTTGGGGTGTACATAGGAAACAAACCCATGTCTGGTCAGTTGATAGAGATGAGTAGGGTTGCTGGGCCTTAGGTGGAGGTGTGTGTTTAGCAGACAGTGTCAGCAGCAGTTGGAGTG